TCCCTTATTAATTACTATACTTTTTTACTTTGTTTTACACTCCTGAGTTTTTTTATATACAATCAAATCATCATGAATAATGTTAGTTTTGTTTCTTCTTTCCAATCCTTATACCTTTTTCTTGTACTGCATTAGCTGAGGTATCATTTGCAATGTTAAATAGAAGTGGTGGAAGTAACATCCTGTGTCTTTCCCTGTCTCACTGTTTTTAGTTTATTACTGATACATGATATCATAGTATGAAGTGTAAGTTATATACTTATAAATACATTACTGATAAGTCTAATGTTGGCTACATATAGGCTTTTGTAAATACTCTTTTATCATCTTAAAGAAGCTCCATGGCTCAATATAGAAGGGATTTCAGTTCTCTCAATACTGCTCTATAGATCCAGTGCAGTTCTAGTCAGAATCCCAATGGGGAGATTTGGTGTTTGTTTTGATGAAAATGACAGGCATCAATGTGGATCAATTTCAGAAATACAATGTTGAGCAAAATGTGAAAGCTACAAAATTATGATCTCATTTTTATAGAGTTAAAAGACATTAATTTAAAGCTGTGTGACAAGTAAAAATATTAAGAAAAGCAAGAAAATGATATCACAAAATTCATTATGTTAATTGCCTCTGGGAGGTAGGAAGGGAATGTAACTAAAGGGGCTCATATAGGAGGCTCAGCAGTATTAGCAGTGTTCTAATCTTAAGCTAGGGGCTGGCTAAACATACAAGTTTCATTTTTATATTACGATTATTATTAAATATGAAAATATCTTTCTTGTGCCTTCAGCCCATTTTTAAAAGAGATCTTTTTAAAATTTGTTTTCTTGAGGAGGAGGCAGGAAGGGAAAAAAAAATAAATAAAATTTGTTTTCTTCCAAAAATTGGAAATTTGTAAAAAATAGTGCAATGAAAGCCATATACCTTTCACCACAATTTACTAATTGTTAATATTTTGCTCTGTTTGTTTTATGTCTCTATCATGCATTGCACTTATTTGTCATGTCTCTCCACATATCTTTAATTTGAAACAGTTCCCCAGCCTCTTCTTTGTCTTTTATGATATTGATTTTTTTTTTTTTTGAGAAGTTCAAGCCAGTTTTATAGAATTTGGAATTGCCATGATTGATTTGTGTTAAACATTTTTGGCAGAAGTTCTGCAAAGGCAGGACTACTACAAAAGTCTTCCCAAGAAGCAGGTAATATTAGTTTCTCCTATTATTAAGGGTATTAATTTAATCATTTGGTTAAGGGATTATTTGGCCATTTTCTTTACTGTAAAAGTATCTGGAAAGTATCTACAAAAGTAACTCGTTTGTAGTTAATGGAGAACCTTAATTTGTGGGTGATTATTTGAGCCTGAGTGATTAAGCATTTGATCCTTTAACAGTGTGGGTTTGAACTGTGTGGGTCCATATAATTGGATATTTTTCAGTAGTAGATATTACCGTGCTAGACAGTTGGTGGCTGGTTGAATCCAAGGATGTGGAGGAACCCTGAATGTGGAGGGTGAACTGTAAGTTATACATAAATTAACCCCTGCCTTGTTCAAGGGTTAACTACTATTGCCTAACAACTTTTCAACCAGTGATTCTATTATGTGTTACTCATTTCTGTTATTTTTTTCTTTTTGGTGCTCAAATTGCCGCAGGTTTGGTCAGTTGAATCCCCTGGTTCCCTTGTCCTTTTTGTCCCCCTGTGATCTGGTAAAACATTATGTTCCAGATTTATCTTGTATTTTGGCTGCCCCAGCCCTGGTTAGTTTAGTACACATTAGCTGTGGTCATAACTATTGGAGTCTTGTTGCTTCTTGTTCCTTTTAGTGGAGAGTGCTAAGAAATACATAAATATTTTTAAATCACGAATTCATAATGACACCTCTAATTCTAAACCACACAACAGGGTTCTTTCTGTCCTCCCATTCCATGTTTATAGCTCTTTTCTTCTATTTGAGAACCCTGATTTTTTCCTAAACATCAACACCACGTACTGACTTACTCAGTTGTACAACGCACACGGAGTTATTTTGGAACTCATACCACTACCATTACCAACAACAAGCCTGCTAAATTAAGTTCAAGATTTTCTTGCAGTTCTTTTTCCTTTGAGTATATCCTGTGGCAGGGCTAGAGTCAGCACTCTACTGTAGTTGTTGTTGGTAGTTTGTTTGCATTTCATTTTAGGGCTGGCTTAATTTAAATTTGAATACATAAACCATTAGCATGATTCAAAGTCAAAACTAAGCTTGAGCAAGTTAGTAACGTCTCAGTGTCTCAATTTCTCCCTCTAGGATCGCTGAGAACTTGCAATGATGTAGTAGAGACTACAGAGCATTTATTAGAGTGCAGATCATCTACGGCATCCGGTAAATGGGAGCTGTTCTTTCTTTTTCTGTGAATTCCTCCCAGTCACTTCTCTTGCTTCTTAACTTTTCCTGGTCTGTGACCCAGGCCATGCATGAGGTGGGGTGGGCAGGCAGGTGGAGGGAGGTGATACCTGCTAGGCAGTGATGAGTGGGAAGGAACAGGACACGTGGATTATGTTCCTACTCTATGCTTATCACTGCCAGGCATTCCCCTTAACTCAGTGAACCCTCACAGCCCCGCAGGGTCTTCACAAGTGTGTTTCCCCTTACATAGATGAGGAGGCTTGAGATGATGAATGCGCTTGCCCAAGGGTAGGCAGCTACTCCCAAACCCTGGACCTACCTCACCATTACCCCTGGTGCTGCTTTCCCTGGCTTCTGCATCTTCCTCACTTGGGACCCAAGTCCAGCTCACTGAGGGAAGCCCTGCTCAGGTTTGGGAAGGAACAGGGCAGGCGTGGAGCCGTCCTGGCTGATGGGTCCGTGGGCCCAGCCTGCACACCATTTCTGTGCCTTCCTCCCTGTGAGTCTGTCTCGGGTCTGGACACGCTGACAGCTGGCCACATTGGAAATGCAGTCTTCTCCAGTTGGCCCAGTGGCAGTCCTCAGGGCTCCCTGAGCAGCGGCTGCCACTGGCCAGCAATTGACTTCAGTTCTGGGCTCACTCGGGGGTTATTTTTTATATTTATTCCTTGTGTGCAGAGATGGCTGACACGGAGTAGCAGGGGTCTGGGAAATAAGAGGAGCAAAGGAGCTAGTATCTTGAAGCTGGAGGGAATTCAGGGGTCATCTTTGCTATCCCTCTGCCTGCTGACAGCACTGCACCTAAGGGGAGCAGCATTTAAAAAGGTAACGCTGCACGGGCTGGTGCGCTCCTAGCAGCGTTGGGAGACGGACCCAGCAGGGATTAGCAGGCTGGTGTTAAAGAAGAGGAAATCGGGGTAGAGGACTGTATGTGTGATACATTCATGCCTTCATCCCACATTGCCCAGCTGTAGGCAGTAAAGACTGAGGCTTCCTCTTGCCTTCCTGCCCAGAGAAGGCACCTGGCCAAGGTCACACAGTGAATTTGAGGCAGACCCAGGACCAACACCCAGGCCTGGGGACCCAAGCTCAGTGCATCTCGGAGGGAGCTAGCTCGGAGAGAGAGAGGTCTGTCCCCGTCCACCTGTGTCCCAGGGATGCAGGCAACCCCCTGAGAGCTCTTCCTTGAGTACTTGTGTCATCCCCGGGTCCTCTCCCTCTCTCCCTTCTGCTTCTCACTCTAAAGAAGATGGCTCTTCCAGCCCTGCTGTCACCTCAGGGCCTGACACGGTAGGTGCTCAGTGCACACTCGCTGTTGAAGACACAAGGAATGGGCAGCTGGGCCACATCCTGTGAGGGTGAAGTGAGCACACACCCTCAGACCCAGCAAGACCTCAGAGATGTTCGCCCACGGCCACCAGGAGCCATGCACAAGGATGTTCACAGAGGCACCCTTCACTGTATTAAGATGTGCAGAGCCGCCTCACCCTTCACGGTCAGGAGAAGAGAAAGATAAATTGTGTTTTCACACAATAGAATGATACCACACAGCGGTGAAAATGACCTATATCTACGTATGTTAACATGGCTGCATCTCACAAACAATGTGGGATGGTAAAGCAAGTCATGAAGTGTACGTGGAAGAACAGTAATACTAAGCTGTCAGCACTTCACAATCTGGAAAGTAGTAACCTTGGGGCAGGGAAGAAGTATAATCAGATCAGAGAGGGTACACAGAGGGCTCCAACTCCATCGATGATGTTCTATTTCTGAAGTTGAATGATAGATAAAAGAGATTGTATTATTCTTGATACCTTTTGTATGTCTGAAATATTTTATTACAAAAACAAAAAAAATGGAAAAAAAGAATAAGTTTAAAAAACTAAAAATGCAGGCAGTCCTATCCTGTCTTTAGCTTCCATACAATTCCTACCACTCCCTTATTATCTTCAAACTGTTATCTTTATACTTAAACTTTGTATTCCCATTATCTTTATATTCGACTGTCTATATGATAAAACTCACAATAAACATATTTTAAAGGAAATATATGCAAAAGGGAAGTTGGACATTATAGCGTAAGGAAACTATTTCCTGACTTAAAATTACTATATAACTTGAAATATCCTCCTCACTGACCTACAAATACTAGTAGCTCTTTGGCCATATATGCCACTTCAGGATAAAACAGTGAAGACTGACGATTAGAACATTTTCATGGTACATAGCCAGAGCAGAAAAAGATTTTGCCAGTGATTTAGGGCTTCCTTCCATCCACCCATTCTTCAGAGTACATTTTCTCACACATAAAAATAGATGAGTGAATTGCTCCACAAATAATTATTTCAAAAAATCTGAAGTAAATGTAACCCCTCTTTTAACATTTCCCTTAAGACTTAAAAAAAGAAAAAGTTTTATGGGTGAAATTTGGATTTTTAAAAAACGTTTCTTTTTTTTTACAAGAGAAGCAGCTTAAAAAAAAGAGAAGCAGCTTAACATTAAGCAGTATCTTTCTCGATACGAGTGATATTTTGAAGTCTTACCAGGTTTTAATTGTCCATTGTTTCCTAAACTGTATTTTTAATTTCATTTGCTCTCTCCTAGGGAATGAAGGATGGCAGCACGCCGTGCATTAAAAGCTGTTTTGGTCGATCTCAGTGGCACACTTCACATTGAAGATGCAGCTGTGCCAGGCGCACAGGAAGCTCTTAAAAGGCAAGCTATCCTCCACGTTCAGCTGACAAATATGTTTGTAAGTGCCATTTTACCAAGGCAGATCATTAGCAGAATGGATGGCCTTAAGATGGCATTTCACCGATTTACCGCAGATACAGGAACTGCCTTGGGCTTAGCTGGAAAATGTATGCATTGTTGTATCTTCCAAACATTGTTCTCCAAGCCTTTTGTTAGGTTTGGCCTTTTGGTCTGTCTTTTCCTCTTCATGTGTGTCTTTTTTCTGAGTAATATAAATTTGGGAATGAAAGCTCGAAATTCGAAAATGTGGAATAAGTAGCAATGGAAAAATTGCAGATAAATCCTGGAATCACAAAATGAAACACACACATACACGAAGACTTAGTTCTGCCCACTCCTTCAGCTAAGATCTAGCACTGGGTGTGCAGCTGCTCAAATAAAATTTAATTAAGGGACTTAAAATTTTAGAATTATCTCCATTAACTAAATTTAATGCTTTTGAAGGTTGAAGATTGTCTTGTATTTCTGATGCATCGCTTACCAAAAGTCTAGATTAAAAAATGCATATTATAGAAAAGCATGTGAACTGAACTGAATGTGAATATTTGTTTCTGAGTATCCTGGAAAGAATACTCCTCAGCAGAGTAGAACTGGGACTTCCTTGGTGGCTCGGTGATAAAGAATCCACCTGCCAAGTGCAGGAGACACAGGAGGTGTGGGTTTGATCCCTCTGTCGATCCCCGCGCAAAGAAATGGCAACGCACTCCAGTATTCTTGCCTGGAACCTTCCGTGGACCAAGGAGCCTGGTGGGCTGCAGTCCATATGGTCGGACAGAGTTGGACACAGCTGAGCACGCATGCATAACAGAACTAGTAATGTTATTTAGCATCTTACCTTAAAATAATTTAGAGGAGGTTTTAAAGTCAGCAATACTTAGCATGTAGTGCTTTACCATTTTACACCTTACAACATTCATAGTCTGCTCTTGTTCAGGGAATCTCGTGACTAGTCACAGTGCCAGGTATTGTGGCAAGAGAGCAACACCGACTTGGCATTCTCTCCATGTGGGGCATCAGCAAGTGTGAAGAGATTTTAGATCTGGTGGTCATCAGTTGGAAGCTATTGATGTAGCTGGAAGTCATGGTGTTCTTTTACAGGCATACAGCAACATGTTTTTGAAGGCTCAAATTAGATCAGTTGGAGAGTGGGCCTTTCTCTTGGCTCCTTGCCGTGGTCTCTCTCAGGCTTTCTAGGGAAAAGGATACCTGTTCATCAGTCTGCTCTCCTGTTGGACAAGTGCTTGTACTGCTTCAGAGATGAGCTTTCTGCTCTGGATGGATAGAAAAGTCTTATTTCTGGTGAATAATGAATGACATCTCTAAGTACATCTGTAACCTGTGAGCCTGCCATTCTGGAGGGGCCAGAGCCTACAAATTGTCCTCTCACTGGCACAGGCGGGTCTCCATCCCAGAGAGATCCTATCTGTCACTGCCAGTTTTGGTTTTTATGGAAACAAATAGTTTAAGGGAAGTTGAGCGACCAGCAAAAAGAAGGGTTTTTTTTAAGTTCTTGTTAGAAATAATACAGTCATTTCAGTACTTACACTTGTTCATTTTTCGGATAATAGTTATAATAAGGTATTCAATTTCTTTTGAGAGATTTTAAGCACATAAAACAAATTTAATGTGTTTTTAGGCAAAGCCACCACACAGGTATTATAGAGATAATCATGATTATAATGAACTATTTAATCATATAAAGGTATTGAATGCTCTTTGAGTAAATGCTTAAAAATCTCTTTTATGTTTTATTCTCTTGCTTATTTTAAATTATGGACAGTGCTTTTATGCCTTGTATCTGTTTGGGGCAGGCATAAAATATAAGGTGTATGTGATGGGCATGAGTGCTCAGTCGTGTCCAACTCTTTGCATTCTTGTAGACTGTAGCCCGCCAGGCTCCTCTGTCCATGGAATTTCCCAGGCAAGAATACTGGACTAGGTTTCCATTTCCTACTCCAGGGGACCTTCCCAACCCAAGGATGGGACCCACGTATCTTGCATCTCCTGCATTGGCAGATAGATTCTTTACCACTGGTGCCACCTGGGAAGCCCAACAGGGTATTCATATAAAAATTTTAATTGTAGGTAAATTAAAATTAGTTTTAGATTAAAACACTGTTGTTGTTGTTCAGTTGGTAAGTCGTCTCTGACTCTGCAAATCCCATGGACTGTAGCATACCTGTCCTTCACTATCTCCTGGAGTTTGCTCAGATTCATGTCCACTGAGTCTGTGATGCCATTCAACCATCTTATCCTTTGTTGCCCGCTTCTCCCCCTGCCCTCAGTCTTTCCCCACATCAGGGTCTTTTCTAGTGAGTCAGCTCTTCACATCAGGTGGCCAAAGTATTGGAACTTGAGTTTTAGCATTAGTCCTTCAATGAATATTCAGGGTTGATTTCTTATAGGATTGACTGGTTTGATCTCCTTGCTATCCAAGGGACTTTCAAGAGTTCTCCAGCACCAAAATTCGAAAACATCAATTTTTTGACATTCAGCCTTCTTTCTGTTCAAACTCTCACATCCATACATGACTACTTGAAAATACCATAGCTTTGACTATATGGAGTCTCTGCTTTTTAATATGCTGTCTAGGTTTGTCACTGCTTTTCTCCCAAGGAGCAAGTGTCTTAATTTCATGGCTCCTGTCACCATCTGCAGTGATTTTGGAGCCCAAGAAAAGAAAATCTGCCACTGTTGCCACTTTTTCCCCATCTATTTGCCGTGAAGTGACGGGACCAGATGCCATGATCTTATTTTTTTGAATATTGAGTTTCAAGCTATCTTTTTCATTTTCCTCTTTCACCCTCATCAAGCAGCTCTTTAGTTCCTCTTCACTTTCTGCCATTAGGGTGGTATCGTCTGCATATGTGAGATTGTTGATATTTCTCATGGCACTCTTGATTCCAGCTTGTGATTTATCCAGCCCAGTGTTTCGCATGACATACAAATTAAATAAGCAGGGTGACAATATACAGTCTTGTTGTACTCCTTTCCCAATTTTGAACCAGTTCGTTGTTCCATGTCTGGTTCTAAATGTTGCTTCTTTTTTTAAAAAAAAAAATGGTGCTTCCTGACCTGCATACAGATTTCTCAAGAGGCAGGTCAGGTGGTCTGGTATTCCCGTCTCTTTAAGAATGTTCCACAGTTTGTTGTGATCCACACATTCAAAGGCTTTAGTGTAGTCAGTGAAGCAAAAGTAGATGTTTTTGCTTTCTCTATGATCCAGCGAATGTTGGCAATTTGACCCCTGGTTCCTCTGCCTTTTCTGAATACAGTTTATACATCTGGAAGTTCTCAGTTCACGTACTGTTAAAGCCTAGCTTGAAGGATTTTGAGCATTACCTCGCCAGCATGTGAAATGAACACAGTTATGTGGTAGTTGAACTATCTTTGGCATTGCCCTTCTTTGGGATTGGAATGAAAACTGACCTTTTCCAGTCCTGTGGCCACTGCTGAGTTTTCCAAATTTGCTGAAATACTGAATGCAGCACTTTAACAGTATCATATTTTAGCATTTGAAATAGCTCAGCTGGAATTCCATCAGCTCCACTAGCTTTGTTCTTAGTGATGCTTCCTGAGGCCCACTTGACTTCACACTCCAGGATGTCTGGCTCTAGGTGAGTGACCACATCATTGTGTAGGACCAAGAAAATGGTTTTTTTGAAGGAAAGCTGGACTGCTATGAATTCTTCCTCTGATACCTGATTGCCAGTTTAGGTTCCAAGAAGCAGATTATGAAATTTTGTATGAAATTTTACATACAGAATCCCATATGTAAGTAATTAAAGGGGAATGCACATTCCAGTCTGTAAAAATGACGTGTTTCTTTCTCCACGTAGTTTCTGTTTGTAAACTTAGTAGCACATTAGGGCTTAACCAGTGTCTAATTGGCTCAGAAGAAAGAAGAACTCTTGAGTTATGCTCTGTCTCTTAGTATAGGGGGTCAGACCCTGTCCAGAATGCAGGCCAGAGTTCTTGTCTCAGCTCTATAGCTGCCCGGCTGCGTACAGCTGAGCCCCGTCATTAATCCTGTAGGCCTGAGTTTTCTCAGCTTCAGAAGGTTACACTAGGTAGATAATCTCAAGGTAACTTTCACCTCATTCTGTGAGTACAGTGGTTACTCAGCTTTGGGTCTTGGTTTTCACTTCTTTGCTTAAAACCTGGTAGTGAAATTCAGTTGAAAGTATAGAAGGCCCTTGAAAAGGTAGCCTTTATAGCCTTTGTAGATAAAGCAATCCACAGGATGTGGATGAGCTGTAAGCAGTTTTGGATAGGTTATAAAACCTATTGCCATAAAACACATACTCAATGACTTACCTTTCATTTTTTGATCTTTGGCAAGTGCTACCAAATTAGGTTTTATGGGGCTAGAATGTAGAAGCTGCCTATTGACACCTGAATTACACTTTTCCAGGTTACGTGCTACTTCTGTAATGGTTAGGTTTGTGACCAATACGACCAAAGAGAGCAAGCAAGACCTCTTGGAAAGATTGAAAAAGCTGGAGTTTGATATCTCTGAAGATGAAATATTCACATCTCTGACTGCAGCCAGAAACTTGGTAGAGCAGAAACAAGTCCGACCCATGCTGCTGGTTGATGATCGGGCCCTACCTGATTTTAAAGGTAGGAGGCATTTGGAAAGATTTAAAGATTAGTTCTTCATATCTGCTTGTAAGTCACTCTTAAAACTGGATATTTGGAAGCATTTATTCAGATTTCCTCTTATTGAAATAGTCAACACATACGATGTTTCTTGAACCTGTTTTGACTGCGCCCCGCAGTAAGTGAAACACATTATATAGAAATTCAGGACATGTGTGTACTTGTACATGTTAAATAATACTTGCTCTTATTCTGTGACATGTACTCTGTTTTCTATTTGGTTTGAAAAGTGAAAGCGTTAGTCACTCAGGACTGCAACCACGTGGACTCGCCTGCCAGGCTCCTCTGTCCACGAAATTCTGCAGACAAGAATACTGGAATTGGTAGCATTCCCTTCTCCAGGGGATCTTTGCAACCCAGGGATCGAACCCAGGTCTCCTGCATTTCAGGCAAAGTCTTTACCATCTGAGCCACTAGGGAAGCCCATTTTCTGCTTGGTTTACGTGTGTGATTTTCATGCTGCTTGGAATCATCCAGATTAGTTTCACAGTTTACTGATGGATCATGGCCCACAGTTTGAAAAAACACAAGTCAAGATTTCTATGAGCATTACAGTCCTCATTCCTGGAGCCACTGTATTAATTTGACTAGATAAGATGAACCAGTATCAGCATGTTTAAAGATAGATGTCATTCTGTATAGTGTGAAGCTTTTGCAATGACCATGAAATATTTTCAACCAAGGAAAAATAAAACTTTTCTCTTGGAAAAAACCTAAAAACTCTGGAAAAATATCCTAGTGTTACGAAGCTTTGCCACATTGCTTCTTTTTATAGGTGATACTCAGAGTGAAGTACATAATATTGAAAAAATGAGTATAAATTATAAATTCATCATTATAAAGCCATGTTATAGCTTTGTAAATAATTATTTGGAAATAATTCACTGTCAGGAAATATAACTGGATATGAATCAGAATTATTATTGCAAGAAACAGAAAACAGCTTTGGCTGAATTATACAGAAAATAAATTTATTAAAAGATCTGATGGGATATAAAATGGCACAACTCCTGTGGAGAGGAATTTGGCAGTGGCTCTCAAAATTGCATGTGAAGCAGTACTGCCTTTTGTAGGACTGTATCTGCAAGATGTAGTGACAAATATGTATAAGGGCTTATGAATAAGGTTGTTCATTATGACCTTAGAAGATTAGAAACAACCCAAATGTTCATTAAAAGAAACTAATTAAAACTAGGATATGTCCACAAAATGAAAGGAATGCTTTGTGGCTGAAAGGTAAGTAATGACGGATTCTGTCTCCTGATGAGAGTGATCTTCATAGGATATAGTAAGTGAAAAAAGTAAGGTATAGAAAACCTTACACATTTTCTGTGTAAGAAGATGAGAGGGAAATGGCTATGAATGTATTTATCTTGTATTCTTTTTTATTTATTTGTTTATTTCCCATTTATTTTTATTAGTTGGAGGCTAATTACTTTACAATATTGTAGTGGTTTTTGCCATACATTTACATGAATCAGCCATGGATTTACATGAGTATGTCTTACATTTGTGAAAAGAAGCTGAAGGAAGATAAATGAAAACCTAGTAAAAATAGTTATCTAAAGGGGGAGGGCAGGAAGAGGAGACGTGATCTCTCTAAATAAAAGTACATTATTATCTAGTTTTGACATTGGAATCAGGTGAATATTTTTTATATTTAAAAGACAAAAAGTTAAAAACAAGGCAATCCCTAAAAACCAAAAACAGATCGAAACAAATGAACTGTATATAAAGTTGATGACAACCCACTCAAAGAATTACTTTACATGACTTTAAAATACAGTATTCTGATAGTTCACTCATAGGGGATAAATTGAAGGATAAAAGAATTGCAAAGAAACCTAAAACTGCTTTCAGTAGTCTTAGTGTTTATTAGTAGTACTGATATTATAATTATAGATACATTATAGGATAAAGTGATAGTTATACTAGTAGTATTAGTACTCCAGACTTTAAGTGTAAGTGAAAAGAGGCACAAATATAAAAATCAAATAAGGTGTGTGTTAATTTTGAATTAAAAATATTATGATCAACTCCCTTGTTCTTTTCAAAAATACATACTGTCTAGATCTTCTACTCAAAAGGCGTAGAAGCAGTGAAACCCTGTGGTCAAACTGTAGTGTCTACTGTGGTTTCCTACTTTAGTTCTGTGAAGAAATGGGAGATTCTAGATCTGCAGGGATTGTATGAGTCTGGGATAGCTAATTTTTAGCAAGGAAATTATTGAAAATTAATAAAGTCATGCCTAAAGGACACTGAAGCCAGTCTGAAGGGATAATTCAAATAGAATCAAAAAGAATAATGATTGCAATAGATTGCAACACATCTTATATACAGAATGATCAAAATGATACTCAACCCCACAAAACTCATTGGTCACTATTGGATGTTGTTAGGGCAGTGACTCATTCTGAAAATGTACAAATGAAACTAGGATTTATCCTGCTTTTCCTATTTTAACTGTATTTTAGAGTAATGAAACATTTGATGAGAGTAAGTTCTTTATAGAACAGTTCTAACTAGTAAATGCAGAAGCAATGGCAGAATTAGAAAATCACATTTGCCAAACCCTAGTGAAATAGGTAACAATGTCAATAGATTTTAAACACAGTAGGTGAAGGATTGATGAGGAGGTTCAGAATGCAGGGATTATGCTGACACCACTTGAACCAGCTAATCAGTCTTAGCACCACTAGACAAGGAACAGCCAGATCCCTTGTGCTTCATGATGTGATACAGTAGAATGTTCATAGCATTGCCTGTGAAATAACCTTGCTTAGTAATTGAATGTGAACTTACGAAACTTCTAGATCCAGTTACTGGTTTATATGAAATAACAAGAGTAAAGGAATAAATTAAATAATAATCATAAGCAGTCAGCCGAATCCAGAAAGTAGGACTTGGTTACCAAGATCTAGGTGCTTTAGTAGGTAAGATTGACAGAAGACTGCTGCTGTAGAATGAGAAGTAAAGGATAACAATGAAATACCAAGTATGGACCTTTTTGGGTGTCAATTACATATCAGATATAAAAAGACGTTTTTGAGACATTTGGAGAGATTCAAATGTGGACGAGGTATTGAGTGACTAATAAGAATTATGACTGGGCTTCCCTAGTAGCTCAGTGGTAAAGAATCCACCCGCCAGTGCAGGAGACATAGGTTCGATCCCTGATCCAGGAAGATCCCACATGCCATGGAGCAACTAAGCCTGTGGGCCACAGCTGTTGAGCCTGTGCTCTAGATCCTGGGAACAGCAACTAGTGAAGCCCATGTGCCCCAGAGCCCGTGCTTCCCAACAAGAGAAGCCACCTCAATAAGAACATAGCACAACTAGAGTAGCCCCTCCTCTCTACAACTGCAGAAAAGCCCACACACAGCAATGAAGACCCAGTGCAGCCAAAAATAAATAAATAAAATTATCATTAACTCTGATGGTATAATAATGTTAAAGTGTGTTTTGGTGGTTTTTTTAGGTCTTTATCAGTTAAAGATATATACTGAAATATGAAGGGTGAGATGATGGATATCTGAGATTTACTTTTCAAAGACTTTAGAAAATGTAGAGAATCATAGATAACAGTTGACAAAATGTTGGTGACAGCTAAAGCTGGGTGATAGGTACATCAAGGCTCATTATGAGCTAGTCTTTCCATTTTTTATTATCTTTTATATGTCTGCAACAGAAAAAAAAAGACTGAGTAGCCTATAGAACTAACTGCCCAGCGGGGGCTGGGGGTTAAGTCTCCGGGGTTGTGCCCCAAGGAGTGGTATGCAACACCTCGCATGCAGAACTGATCGGGCATCCCCACTGTGCCTCTGCATGCTGATCTCTGCAGCTGGCCTCTTGACCCCAGTGGCGCTGGAGACTGGAAGTTCCAGCTTGCCCTCCTGCCTCAGAATTTCCAGTGGCATTCTCCCAGTTGCTTTAATGTTCCTAGCTTCCATTGGAGAGCCTAGGGTAGGCGCTTTTGATTGGCAGAACCTCCATCTCAGGCCAGTACCCATAGCTGCAGAGAGGCTGGAAATACAAGTATGCAGTGTTTTTACCCTCTCAAGAGAGGGTGAGCTCTGCTCCTCACCAGGCCTTAGGAGCGAGTGGATTCCATGGTTATGAAAATGATATTCAGAAACTGGGCTGCCAAAAATAATGACACATACATTCTGTGATTAGTGTATTTATATTTTTGGGCCAGCTGAAGTACTGCAAAACAGTTTTTTATCCAGACCTTTTACTTTATTTGAAGAAAGATTCTGGTTGTGCAGCAGTGAGCTGGAGTTGGCACATCTAAGCAGAATCCCTGGTCTGTAAGAAATCTTTGTTATTTAGTGTAAGACTGAACTTGCAACATGGAAATACCCAGAGTTGGTGGGTTTTTTAAGGGAATGGAAATATCTTGGCTAATGTTGAATATCTTAGCTAGTGGTAGATGGAGAAAATAAAAATAATACAAAAATCTCAGCTTTTAACTATAGCCATTGATTTTATTTTCTCCCTTCAACAAGCTTCAGCCAATTACTCAGTACTCATGTATGCCGGTGAGGAGGGAATTGAAAATCTTGAATATCTGCTCTTTCTACTTCTCACATTTTGGTAGAATTGATAATGAGACTGCTTATAAAGCAGGCAGTAAGAGAGGCAAATAGGAATCGGCATATGAATAATACACAGACCCTTCAATCAGAGTTTTAATAACTGTGATGGTGAATACCCTCCTTTGGTTCTTGTAACTAAAGTCTTGTCATCAGGTACCAAGACCTTAAAACATGTTTTCTTTTTTTTTTTTTCCATTTATTTTTATTAGTTGGAGGCTAATTACTTTACATCATTGCAGTGGTTTTTGTCATACATTGAAATGAATTAGCCATGGATTTACATATATTCCCCATCCCGGTCCCCCCTCCCACCTCCCTCTCCACCCAATCCCTCTGGGTCTTCCCAGGGCACCAGGCCCGAGCACTTGTCTCATGCACCCAACCTGGGCTGGTGATCTGTTTCACCCTAGATAATATACGTGTTTCAATGCTGTTCTCTTGAAACATCCCACCCTCGCCTTCTCCCAGAGTCCACAAGTCTGTTCTATACATCGGAGTCTCTTTTTCTGTTTTGCATATAGGGTTATCGTTACCATCTTTCTAAATTCCATATATATGTGTTAGTATACTGTAATGGTCTTTATCTTTCTGGCTTACTTCGCTCTGTATAATGGGCTCCAGTTTCATCCATCTCATTAGAACTGATTCAAATGAACTCTTTTTAATGGCTGAGTAATATTCCATGGTGTATATGTACCACAGCTTCCTCATCCATTCGTCTGCTGATGGGCATCTAGGTTGCTTCCATGTCCTGGCTATTATAAACAGTGCTGCGATGAACATTGGGGTGCACGTGTCTCTTTCAGATCTGGTTAAAACATGTTTTCATTATAGAATGATATTTGTGAAACTAATGTGGATTAGGTATCATGTAGAAAGCTATAGGACCTACAGTGCATTCCATGTTTATCATGACAGTGTGTGCCTCAGCTATGTGGTTCAGAAAGTCTAATTTTCCTTGCCTCTTAGCTTTCCAGTCCCTTATCAGTTGCTATTGATCTGATAGCTCATAGAGAACTGTGGCTGTTCTGGTTGATTTTAATCAGTAAAGCTTTTTGAAGTTACAAATTGTTAATTGTTTGAGAACATCAGGTTACACTTTAGTTCAGATCTTCTAGTTACTCAGTAGCTGTAAGACTGCAAAAGTAATATACAAAAATACTAGGAGACCTTTTTTTTCCTTTTAAGTATAGCTCGTATTTCCAGAGTATACTGGGCAGGATAATCTCTTAAGCTTCAGATTATTGCTACAACAAAAATGTGGACTTGGTTGACTAAAGCCGCTTTATTATAAATTGTGACATTACTGTTAATTGCATTTTTCAGTAATTTTTTCTTTTTATTTTCAGGAATACAGACAAGTGATCCTAATGCTGTGGTCATAGGATTGGCACCAGAACATTTTCATTATCAAATTCTGAATCAAGCTTTCCGGTGAGTCTCTAGCTATTTATTTTTCATGTGATCATATACTCACTTCTTCTCTTCTTCATGTTTTCTTTAAATGATTTTATTCATATGTTTATCTGTTTTGGGCTGTACTGGGTCTTCATTGCTGTGTAAGCTTTCTCCAGTTGTGGTGAGCAGGGGCTCCCCTCTGGTCCTGGTGAGAGGGCTTCATTGTGGTGGCTCCTCTCGTGGAGCACAAGCCCTGTGGCACGCGGACTTCGGTAGCCGGGGCTCCTGGGCTCTGGTGCACGGGCTTCGTTGCTCCGAGGCGTGTGAGATCTTCCCCGTCATGGATCGAACCTGTGTCTCCTGCATTGGAAGACAGATTCTTTACCACTGAGCCACCAGGGAAGCCCCCCTTCTTCTCAAGTCTTTGTCATGTAAGGTTACACATGTTTTACTTTCTGGCCATCTAGATTGTACATGAGAACAAATATCTTAAAGATCACTTCAAAATCAGTGTTAAACAATATTAATTACTGTCTTAGTTTTTTTTTAATAATCAATATGTTAAAACACAGTGATCACTGTGGTTTTTCTGGTTTATAGGATCAATATTCTGGGGCAGAAAATCATAGCCAAATTGCAGCTCTTAAGCTAAGAGTTTTATCTTTTATTGTCACTCCTGTGATTCTTCACTAACTGTGATCTCTGAAGGAAAATAATATCCAGGCTGATTCACCCAAAATAGTAAATGTGATTTTCCCTCCAGCAAGAATCCAGGCTATCAAAAAAAGTTGTCAGGTTTGACCATACTTTCAAAGAAAGTATTTGATGAGTGATAATGGTAGTCTGATCTGGGGTTTTTGGCAGTAGGGAAGAAGAATTAGGTTCTGGTAGTGTCAACATGACTTGATGGACAGTTGGGTCAGGGGTGAAGTAGAACAGTGAGTTGGGGAGGATGTCGAGATGTCTTAAGTGCGTGTGACGGAGAACATGCCCTGTGTGGGCTCAGGTGATATGTTTGGGGTGAGGTCCTTTGAACTGTGGGCATCTAAGTGGAGGTGTTCCAGCGGCTGTTAGTAGAAATTGGAGAACTGTAACCTATAGGTAAACTGTTAAAAATCTTCACTGTGTGTTTTACCTGTAGGAACTTCTCAATGCTGTTTCCAAAAGGCAAGCTGCACACTGGTTCTCCTACTTCCTAAAATAAATTGAATAAAAATTTATTTGCAGATCTGCTCTGGAGTGAGACTGATTTTATTTTTCCCCTTGGATTTTTCATTTTTATAGATTTTTCATTTTTATAAACTTTTCATTTTTCATCTTGCCTTTTACTTCTTGTTGGATATTAAGCAGTGTGATTTGCCGTTAAATTTATGACAAGTTAAGTAGTCCTACACATTGCATAGAGGTACTTTAACTTAAAAAAGATATCTTTAACAGCTTAGTAAATTTTTGGAATTTAACATCATTTTCTTACCAGTGCAAAGGTATTCAATAATCATTCTAACTTATACTTGATGTAGAATTCACTTCTTGATGTAAATATATGTCCTAGAATGTTAAAACTTGTTACAAGGTTCACACATCTGGGCACAATATTTGATCTTGAAGATTGCTATCCTCATGTACAATCTGTATGCACTTTTGTCTGTGACTTTCAGTTACTGTGATAGTCAAGTCTTCGTCTAAATAAAAACAAATTCACTTTTTATAATTGCTCAGTAGGCATTATTTCCCAGAGATCCACTGCTATGCCAGGTAACTTGAGTACTAAAATTTCCTTCCTTCACCTACTTCAGTTTTCTGTCCTAGCTTCTCTGGGGATAGAGGCACAGGGGAGTATCTCACCTGCTCCTTAAGTAAGGTTTGTAACTATACCAGAACCAGTTTCCATTTGAAATAGAGAATTTGCTCTTATTTCTTACTTCTGAGTTTACCTCCTGCTACATGTTTATTCATTTCTTGAACCACAGAATTCAAGGAGAAGGTATTGATTGATTTTAGCTGGTAATTTGGGAAGGACATATATAATAGGAAGTTGGGAGGTCTCTGTCTTAGATAAATACTAGACTCAGGGTAATAAAAATGTATGTTGACATAATACTGACTTTGTAATTGCTCGGATGCTGTCTTAATTAGTACACTTCCCTAACCATATTGATTTTTTTAAACACTACATTTTAAAGCATTATAGTGCACTTATAAGTCAACTCTAATTTCACAAATGCACTTAACAGCTGGGTGGAAAGTTAACAGAAGGATTTTAGGTCTTGCCCATCTTTGCATACTGATGTGTCCACAGAGACTGTGCCTTCCAACCCATGACTACAGCTGTTTGGATTCTGAGTGGCAAATATAGACATCTCAAGTGAACCACCAATTAGTTAAATTACTATTCAGGTTTATAATGTGAATAAACATTGGATTTTAAATCCTGTTGCATTGAATACTAGCTTTAGAGGCATATTACCTGTAGGCAAGTACATCAGCCTTCCATGTTACACGAATATGTCTAAAATGTCTGAATAAAATTGAGATCATTGAATTTTAAAGGATTGATTTTAGGGAAGGATGGGAACCACCAGTAGGGAATAAAGGTGATTTGGGTGTGGATTCTATGAGACATTCAAATCCTAAAAGCCATTGCTGTCTTTTTTCCTTTTGCCTAGTAGTAAAAGGTAAAAAGTGTAATATAATAAATACCCATATGTCTATCAGCCAATTTAAGAAATACAAGTTATCAACATGTTTGCTATCCCGTAGGTATCCCTCCTCAATTTTGTTAGCCAAAGCCCAAAAGTAATCAGGATTGTGAATTTTGGTGTTTATCATTGCATTTCTTTATACTTGTAACACATACATAAGTATTTCTGGACAATATATAGTATTATCTTGCATGTTTTATACTTTATATGTTCATCCGTTTGCTTTCTTCTCTAGAAATAATGTATGATTCATCAATATGAATACCTGTAGGTCCAGTTCGTTCATTTTCTCAGTTGTCTTATGCCACCCTGTAGGAAGGTCTTTTTTTATCTTCTGACCTATGAGGGAAAAAAAGCTTCAGCATTTTATTAATGGACCAATTTTAATTAAATTTGATGTTATCTATTAGGAGAAACACTACCTGGGCAAGCAGATCACTTAATCTAAATGAACTTAGCATTAGCAAGCCTGAAAAGTAAGTAATACATCATTGTGGAAATTTTGGAATGCTCAAAAAAGAAATGTGAATAAACAAAATTATCCATGATTCTCCACTAAAAGATCTACAATTAATATTTTAACATATGACTAGTTTGTTTCCAGGCACATATATATAGCCAAAACTGAGAACGTATGTATGCTATGTGGTAACTTGCCTTTTAAGTTTTTCTATATGCTTAAATATTCTTCTAAAACATACTTGATTCCCAGAGCATATTCCACTTTAAAAAGTGTCGTATATTTCTGATTGTTGCTTATTTCCAGGTTTTATGAGTTAATTTTTTTAAGAAACTTCTGAACATGTTTGTTAAGCAATGGTTATGTTTCTGTAACTTGTTTTCTCAGAAGTATAGTTGTGGGACCCCAGGAATTTTGGGAAAAAACTACATGGAATTGCTTAACCTAAGAAAAGTTCACAGAAAAAAATATTTTTCTGAATTAAGAGCAGCTGTTCTCCAGCTTCTTAAGGAGCTTATTAAAATGTTGTTACAACTAAAGATAAGTGACATCACAGCTTTCACATTTAAATGCAGAGGTGAAGGCTGCTTTAAAAAAAAAGTTTTATGTTTTGAACACTTTGTTAATGACTTCTTTCCTATAATTGTTACAAGGTATGAGAATCCTTCAGAAGTCTTAGAGGTATCCAGAAATCAGTTTCTCCTGTGTTTTGGGAAGAGATTCTTATCCCCATAAATGGTTTCTGTTGAATGTTGGATTGCTTTCCTATCCCCTTCTCATTAAGAAAAATAAAAAGTTTTATATTTAACATATTCGGTTCCTTAGAAAGGGAAAAAGAGAAGGGGAGGGGAGAAAACAACAGAAATCAGTTTCTGCCTTTGTACAGCAACTCCTGAATCTTGTCTAAGAGCCCTGGCATAAGGAATTCTAGAATAGTGTGGCAGCAGGGCTTAAATTAGAAATATTTCTATGGGATTTTTCCATTTTGAAAGAGCTGCTATGCAGTCTTTTTAATTAAAGTCCAGACTATAAAAATAAAACACTCTGGAGATGAGAAATTGTTGAAGACTTAAGAACTTGAGTTATTTAAAGCATTCCATTAGTACATGCAGAAGAAAACTTTATATGCCAATTTGAAGATCACAGAATACAGAATTGAGTTTAATGTCAGTCACTACTCATTTTTTAATTAACTGGGGAGATTCTTTTATGATCAAGGCAACTCTTGCCACTCTTTAAGTAAAAGGTTTAGGTGAGTAAACTACATAAATACAATATTACTGGTCTTTTAAAATTTGATGTATAATATTACTCATTGGAAGGAAAGTTATGACCAACCTAGACAGCATATTAAAAAGCAGAGACATTACTTTGCCAGCAAAGGTCCATCTAGTCAAGGCTATGGTTTTTCCAGTGGTCATGTATGGATGTGAGAGTTGGACTATAAAGAAAGCTGAGCCCCGAAGAATTGATGCTTTTGAACTATGGTGTTGGAGAAGACTCTTGAGAGTCCCTTGGACTGCAAGGAGATCCAACCAGTCCATCCTAAAGGAGATCAGTCCTGGGTGTTCATGGGAACGACTGATGTTGAAGCTGAAACTCTAATAGTTTGGCCACGTTGATGCGAAGAGCTGACTCATTTGAAAAACCCTGATGCAAGGAAAGATTTGAGGGCAGGAGGAGAAGGGGATGACAGAGGATGAGATGGTTGGATGGCATCACTGACTCAATGGACATGGGTTTGGGTGGACTCTGGGAGTTGGTGATGGACAGGGAGGCCTGGCGTGCTGCAGTACATGGGGTCGCAAAGAGTCAAACACGCCTGACCTACTGAACTGAACTGAACTGATATACAGTAAAGTATACAGATTGTC